AGCATGAGAACTCGGGCTTGCGGATCAGAGCAGAGGCTTGCCGATCCGAGCTCGGGCTATCCGATGCCCGATCAGATCTCGACATGACGAAGCATCGAAGTTCAGAGCTCCACCGGACGCATCAGAGCTCCAACGAACGCATGAGAACTCGGGCTTGCGGATCAGAGCAGAGGCTTGCCGATCCGAGCTCGGGCTATCCGATGCCCGATCAGATCTCGACATGTCGAAGCATCGAAGTTCAGAGCTCCACCGGACGCATTTTTGTGTAAAGTCCTTTGTATGATGACTTTTCTTTCTGTGGTCGGTTGCCTTTTCAACCCGACGCTGTCTCTTGTTGTATGTGAGCGTGCCGTGGTGTTTTTTATGTTTGTGCTGTGATGGCTTGTAGTTGTGATGTGTGACTGCCTTTTTATGTGTCTAGTGGTTCAAATGGCCGTATCTCTGGTTATACTTAGTTGTTTTTCATGATTTTTGTTTCCTTGTGCGTGATTCTTCGCGCTTGTACTTTTCGGCATGATAGAAGCCGATGAAAATGTCTTGTTCTCTTGTGTTGTTTTGCGTGCCGTCGTGATTTTGATGTCGGGGTTGCACAGCTTTGCTTTCAGCTCTGAGGTTCAAACACCTAATTTATTATATACGCATCAGAGCTCGGGCTGGCGGATCAGAGCAGAGGCTCGCCGATCCGAGCTCGGGCTATCCGATGCCCGATCAGATCTCGACATGACGAAGCATCGAAGTTCAGAGCTCCACCGGACGCATCAGAGCTCGGGCTGGCGGATCAGAGCAGAGGCTTGCCGATCCGAGCTCGGGCTATCCGATTCCCGATCAGATCTCAACATGTCGAAGCATCGAAGTTCAGAGCTCCAGCGGACGCATCAGAGCTCCAATGAACGCATGAGAACACGGGCAGGTGGATCAGAGCAGAGGCTTGCCGATCCGAGCTCGGGCTGGCGGATCAGCGCAGAGGCTTGCCGATCCGAGCTCGGGCTACCCGATGCCCGATCAGATCTCGACATGTGGAAGCATCGAAGTTCAGAGCTCCACCGGACGCATCAGAGCCCGACCGGACGCATGAGAACTCGGGCTGGCGGATCAGAGCAGAGGCTTGCCGATCCGAGCTCGGGCTATCCGATGCCCGATCAGATCTCGACATGACGAAGCATCGAAGTTCAGAGCTCCACCGGACGCATCAGAGCTCGGGCTGGCGGATCAGAGCAGAGGCTTGCCGATCCGAGCTCGGGCTATCCGATTCCCGATCAGATCTCAACATGTCGAAGCATCGAAGTTCAGAGCTCCAGCGGACGCATCAGAGCTCCAATGAACGCATGAGAACACGGGCAGGTGGATCAGAGCAGAGGCTTGCCGATTCGAGCTCGGGCTGGCGTATCAGCGCAGAGGCTTGCCGATCCGAGCTCGGGCTATCCGATGCCCGATCAGATCTCGACATGTCGAATAATAAATTAGGTGTTTGAACCTCAGAGCTGAAAGCAAAGCTGTGCAACCCCGACATCAACATCACAAGGGCACGCAAAACAACACAAGAGAACAAGTTACATTCGCTGGCTTTTATCATGCCAAGAAGTACAAGCGCGAAGAATCCTGCACACAGAACCAAAAATCGTACAAAACGACCAAGTATAGCCAGAGATACGGCCATTTCAAACACAAGACACCCAAAAAGGGAGTCACACATATCACAACTACAAGCCATCACAGCACAAACACAATGACACCACGGCACGCTCACATCCAAC